AAATTATCCTCCTTTTAATGTTTTCCAGTAGCAGGTGTTACGGCTGATTCTAATTAACAAGCCTACAAAGAAGGATGCTAGAGGGAAGATTCATTTAGCATCAACTTTTGGTTCCGACCGACGGGTTTAACCGATATACTCCTCTATAGAGGGAGAGAAGATAAGCTCCGAGCGAGATAATGGTACACAAAAACATCAAGCTCGAAGACTTCGATTTGAACCGAAGAGAACAGGACTTCAAGGCCCCAAATCTGCCATCACCAATACACAATCACGCTAAACCGGGTTATATCTATCAATCCTATCGATAACCCCAATTTATTTTGGTTTTGTTAAAACCCTGATCTTTGCTTTAAAGGAAGCGGGATTTCTTTCAGAATTAACTTCTCTCTCTCTTCAAAAATTTGTTCCTCTCCTTTTCTTTGTCGCCTTCTCTATATGCAGTAATTGTTCATTCAAACCCTAGTCTTCGAATTTTTTCCTGTTTCTCTGTCTATTTTTTATCACGAAATCTCTACTCTTTTCCCTTGCTTAGGATATTCCAATCCTAATATCTCCTCTTGAACCTTTGACAAACATGAGCAGTTCAAGTATTTCGAGTGGGGATGGAGTTTATTACAGAGCCGACTTATGGAGTGACGCGGAATGGGCTTTTTTGCAGCGACTCAGTGCAACCCCTGTGGTACCAACCAGATTCGCTTGTCGGAAGGTGCTTTTTGAAATGGGAATCAGAGATACCCTTGATGACTTCGCCGAATAGCTGAACTTCAAAAATCTGTCTTCAATGGAGTACCATACATATCCTTCTCTCACCCGATAATTCCTTGCATCAGTTTCTTACTTGGCCGCAGCTGCAGATAATGAACCGGGTCGGGTCCAATTCAAGATAGGGCGCAATCACTTCTCCCTTTCTTACACTAAGTTCCTGGACATATACCGGATTGTTGGTGATGCTTATAGGCCTAGCCCTGTCTGGAATGATGCTGATCTGGTATGGCACAACATTGCAAGTGATGCTCCCTATCACCCGAGTGTCTGTAGGATCTCAAAGGTCAAGAATCCGACGGTTCGCTATGCCCTCCGGCTACTTGGCCACACCATGTTTGCAAGGCCACAGCCGTGTCTGGCAAAGGACGAAGAATTGCGGATGGTGTATGGAGCCATCCAACGTTGGCTCAACAATAGGTACGACAGACCGATACAACGCCCTTGGATGCGACCAGAGGTGGGATCCTGGCTTCTTAACCAATTCTTTCGGGTAAAGCATGATGCACTGGGTAGTCAAGACTATCAGATCTGCATTGGAGGCCTGCTTACTCCCATTTTCACAGCATGCGGGATTGACTAGAGCATGCATCGGCACATCCAGACAATCCCCCCAATGGACTTTGATTACCTGGTGAATACTCACACATTAGCGGGAAGGTTGTACCCTAATACCTTGGTATATCGCTATCTAGAGAACAAAGACACCCCTCTGCTGCGCTTCCTTCCTCAGCACAAGTATTATGCGGTAGACTGCGTTTGTAATTTGCAATTCTCACTACCAAGGGATCAAGTGATCATTGCACCTTCTCCACAAAATTTCACCACTTACTACTTCTAAAAAGGTACCACCTTTCTTTGTAAATAGCTCTATTTCTTTAGTTTTTCTTTTTTCTGTTTTTCTCTTTAGTGTGTGTGCTGTTGTGCACCTCTCTTCTCCTTCTCTGCTCTGTCTCACTGGGACAGTGAGATATAAGTCTGGGGGAGATATAGGATACACACACACACACACTAATCTTTACTAATGCACAGTTGTTTCTTTTGCCACTTTCTTCTTTTGTATATTCATAGTGTCTTGCATCTTTGCATTTCCTTGCATTGCATTCATTTTGGCATTAAAATTTTTCAAAAACAAAAAGAACATGCATATAGTCGCATCCCATCTGCATTTTTTTGTTTTCTTTTCATATAAGAATGAATCTAGAAGCATAATAGGACTGCACTTCCATTTGCATTGTATAACAATACATTGCATAGGTGTTCAGTACATAGATCATTTTGTGAATATCTTGATAATGCCTCTCTCTTGCTAGATGAACCGTGAAAGTTCTTGCTTCTTCATATCTCTGATCTCTTTCCTCTAG